CCCTTTTATTCGCCATTGGCTATTTGCTGTTCTGTGAATAATAAAGTCCTGTGTCTCTGACCCAGGAATCTCATGTCTTGTGCCAGCATCCGTGAAACAGTAACTTATTTAATAAGTCTAATTTATTAAATAACTTGTAAGTAGGGTAAAATCAAACCCCAGACATGACATTAACCATTGTATTTCTAGCAGCCAGCACAGTACCTGGCATAATGTAGGCGTTCAGTATTTATTGTGAAATGGATGGATGGATGGATGGATGGATGGGCCGACATTCTCAGCTCTGCTTAAGACATTGCAGGGATCAACCACATTCTGGAATTATTCTGGGATTGTGAGGGAGATGACTGAAGAGACGTGAAGATGAATTTGACGTGAAGTTTCTCTGCACTTTTGTGTCTAACTGGAGAGTATTTTGATCAGCCAGCTGCTCTTCTGACACGTAAACTATCCGTCAGGGGCAGTCCTATTAGATGGTGGCATCTATTTTGAATTACTTGAATCGGGGTCGTGTCCTAATATCTAGCTGGGCTTAGTAGTGGTGGGGTGGGCACTCTGGGGCGGGCAGAGGTCGAGTTCTAGTTCAGAAGGGAATTCTGGACACTCCTGGGTCTCTTTGGGGCGGGGGCATGAAGGTAGAGGAACCGGGAAGCGAGAAAGGGAAGTGGGACAGCAGCAAAGGCTGTGGCACTAGCTGGGACCCGTAATAGAAACTCATCTCTGAGGCTGCTGGCCCCAGACTGTTCCCCTTTCAGAAACTGCATTTTCTTTTTATAACATAACCAAAGCTTTTGTACATAGATTAAAAATTATTCTCAGGACAGATAAAATAGTGAAAAAAGAAGAATGAGAATGTGAAACTTATAAGTATTAAGATTTATTAATTTAGAAGATGAATAATGTACAGAAAGGCCTTTAGAAGACAGAGGACTTGTTGGAAATGGCAAAGGTGACAAGAATTATCAAGGGTTTGACTAGATGAAGCGTTCTCAATAGGGAGAAAGTCATCCCTACGGGAGTGAAAATTGGCTCTTGGTGGACAAAAAAGAATGTGGATATTCAATGGTTTGTAGCCCTCCAAAGGGCCAAAGTACATAGAGTATATAAATATAGTATTACCTGTGGTATTTGAATTTCATACTGGGAGGGGGAAGTAGGGAAGCATGTCTGAAAAGGGGCGGTTATGGGGAAAAAAAGGTTGAGAAACGCTAGACTAGACGATTCAAATGTAAGGATTTTGTTGACCACCCATGGGTCCTCCTGGGAAAATTAATTGCAAACAAGTGCATTGTCTCAGCAGAAGGAAACACACCTTCCACACTACACTGGGAAACCGAGAAGCAGTAGCGGGCAGCTGAACACCCCCCACATCTGCTCAGTGACGAGGTGCAGGCCATAGAACTTCAGTGTCCAGGATGCTAGGCCGATGGCCCACGACACGCTGGACTCGGCACAGGAGGGTACGGAGCAGGGTGGGAGTCAGGATTCCAGGAGCTAACTTACCACCTCCTACCCTCCCGATTTGTTCTGTTTTGTTCTGTTCTCAACTGCCTCCCTGTGTAGCCTCCTCTCCTGCATGCTCTCAGGACTCCCCTCATTCACTTCTGCTACAGGCAGCAATGCTCATGAGTGAAAGAAAAGAACAGAACGCTAGAAGCAGAGCCACATGCTGACATCAAAGAAAGAAATGACCTTCAGCCATATGATTGTTGTGTGGATAAGAATGCTCTCTAACATCTGTGAAGTCAAGTCAGTAATGCAAATAGGCTTTGGGCTTTCCTGGTCTCTGCTTCTGGATATGACCTGGACATGTAGCTTCTTAGCAAAATGAAAACGAAGACAATGTCAAGTATAGGGGATGGTTAGTTCTGATTTCACAGGCGGTCAGTCTTGGAAATGGCTTTCTGGCCTCCGGGCTGCTTAAAAGCCTAGAGTCTGCTATCAGTTTGAAAATGGGGGTGTTGTTTAGGAGGGGCTCTTAAGGAGAGGAGGGATGGCCCAGCACAGGCCCCTCCATTCTCCTGCCTGATGCCTGATGCCCCAAGTTGAGGCCGTGCTGGAAGGAAGAGGTCTCGTTAGAGAACAAGAGTTGCTGCTTTTGGAGTCCTCACTGCATGTCAGGTGCTGTTGTAAGTGCTTTGCATATATTTATTCATTTACTGCTCATAATCAACCCTGCGAGGGGAGCACTTTTATTACGGGTGGGAAATGCTGAGGCACAGAAAAGTGAAGTCACTTGTCCAGGGTCACATGGCTGCTGGTAGCACTGGGGTTTGAACCCAGATCCTCAGGACCCAGAGGACTGTCTGTAATAGTGCTCTGCAATGTGCCTTGGGGCCAACTCTCCCTATCTACAGTGCCTTTGAACTCATGGAAGAATGGGCTAAAGATGAAATTGCTTTTCACGCCATGTGCTTCGGATAGAGTCTTGTTTGAATAGAACAATGTGTCAGTCTATGCATTCCCCCCCCCACCCCCACAGAAGCACTTGTGCCTCTTACATAATGGAGAATTGCTGGACATATGCTGCCCTCTTGTGATGAAAACCATCCAAATATGACCTTCCCCAGCTCTCTGGAAGGCACCCATTTCCTTTGGTGAGTCCCATGGGTGGGGGATGGAGGATGTTGGCCAGCGATGAAGCGGCTGGCCCTGTGGAGTGAGACTCTTGCGTCAGCCCATATTCTCCTGGCTCTTCCCATCCTTCTGACGCTCAGACAATGAGGCTTGTAAACATGACTCCAGAGTCCGGAACCTTTTAGCACCATGGATATAGGGCTAAAGATCGAGCTTCCTGAAGAGTCCCAGGGACCCTAGAGAGGCCCCATGCGTGCCCGTAGGGAGAGAGGCCATTTTGTTGTCCTCCTGGCTTGGGACCAGGCTTAATAGACATGGCAGAAAGAAGGTCAGTTGCACAATGGACTGAAGGTCACACACTTTGTCAGAACAGAGGGAAAATAAGACCAGCCTGACTTGGAGCTGAGTAGCTGCGCCCTCCACAACTAAGATTGAAGGACAACAACTTGTCTGTTCCCCTTCCCCAATTCCCCAACACTGTTCCCCTCCCCCAGTTCCCCCAATAAAATCTTTAAAAACAAAAACAGAAACCCCAGCCAGAGGCCTGTGTTTTGGTTCCTGCTCTGCCAATTACTGTGTGACCTTGGGCAAGTTCCTTTTACCCCCCAACGCCCGTTTCCTCAGTAGTAGTGAGGACTGAACGAAACTCAACATCTTAGCTGCCTCCAGTTGTAACTTACATTTGCCAAAACCCCTATCCGGAAGGGTTTTGCCTATTTTTTGTCCCATTTGCACACACACCCTGATGAGTAAGGCAAGATGCATATCCGTACCCACTAGTTCTCAGTTTCCTCATTCATGAAATACTTCCCACTTCATCGGGTTGTTGGGAAGGAGGGGTTTCCATCGGACCCAGTGTTAACAGGTTCAGTCAGGCTGGGTGTGTTTAGGCAAAGCAAGGACATATACACATGCACACACATACCCATTTTTTTAAATCAGGGAAGACTGATTTTGAAGATACACCTGCACTAATAAGTGGCTATCTTGCACAGTACCGCTTTCAAATAGATGCCAATTTATGGCTGATTCATTCTTCCCTGCTTTGTAGTTACTATCAGTGCCTGTCTGGCTATGATGGTGGCGGGGGGGTGGGGGACTGAACACTGTCTAGGAGGAGGGGCCGGGCAGGGAGCTTTACTCCCATTCTAAGGAGACACTGTTGGCTTCACGTTACGTCGTTCTGTATCTCCACCTGCTTCCAAACCACTTATCACACCCCTGAACCGTATGGGCTAACATAGGTCAAAAAATATATAAATAAATAAAACTTTATTGCAAGACTCTTCGATAATCCCACTCCAAAGAAATAATCCTAAAGAATTGTTTATTTCCATAGAACAGGCCATAATAATCACCACCACAAGCAATCTGGAAACCTGAACGTCTAACATGTGGAATACGATTAAGCGAATTATCGAGCCAAGAGAATACAAATGGCAGTTATAAAGACTATATAACAATGTGGGAAGATGAAAAGCTGCAAACGTACACTGTGATGATGACTGTGTTAAGAGATGTCTTTTTTAATTAAATTTATTGGGGTGACAATCATTAGTAAAATTACATAGGAGTAGGTTTCAAGGGTACAATTCTGTAATGCATCATCTATATGTGACATTGTGTGCTCACCACCCAGAGTCAGTTCTCCTTCCATCAGCATATATTTGACCCCCTTTACCCTCTTCTACCATCCCCCCTCCCTTCTTACATAAAAGGTGTCTCAAAATATTATTCAACCTTTAAAAAGAAGGAAATTCAAGATGGATGGACCTGGATGGCATTATGCTCAGTGAAATAAGCCAGTCACAAAAGATGAATACTGCATGATTCCAGGTGTATGAGGAACTTAGGGCAGTCAAAATCATAGAAAGGGAAAGTAAAAGGGTGTGGGGTGGGGTCTTGGGGGAGGGGAGAACCGGGAGTAACTTAATGGGGAGAGTTTCAGTTTTACAAGAAGGAAAGAGTTCTAGAGATGAACGGTGGTGGTGATTGTACAACGTGGCTGTACTTAACACTACTGAACTGCAACTTCAAATGGTTAAGATGGTAAATATGTATGTTTATGTGTATTTTACCACAGTAAAAAAATTGGGAACAAAAATGTCTCAAAGTAAGCAAAACATGGGAAGGTGACATGCAAAAAGTAAAATAGCTGTTGTTAGCATGCGTTATCATCAGCATTCACCTAAAATTTTTCTTTCACATTTTGTGGTATTGTTTTTATAACAAAAATAAAGCACTGTGACAGAGAGGGAAAACAAATCAAGGAAAAAAAAATTTTTTTTTAGCTGAGCCATCCTGCCACCTCTTGGCAGCTCAGTGGCAGCTCAGCTCGGGCCGGGAATCGAACCGCTGTTGCTCAGAGCTCACATAAGAGCTCACACTGTGGAGCGAGCTCTTAACCAACTGGGCCACACGGCCGGCCCAAGAAAAATTTTTTGAGATATTTTGGTATTTGGGTTTTTTTGCCTTAAAAAGCACCTAAATCATCATAGGAAAAATCAGAAACTTGTTTAACGTCCTGGCATTTATTTTTCTTTTTATAATTTTCTACTGTTTAATTTAAAAAAAATTTTTTTTTGGTCTGGGAATAACAGATCATTGGGGACCCATTATCTTTTCAGTGCTTAGTGCCTCTAAAAGTCTTAAGCTGATCTTAGGTGCAGTTAACTCAGTTTTAAGGCTGAGAGGATTGTGCAGCTCTGCTGCGAGCCCATCTGTGTGATAACCCGAGCCTCAAGAGCTAATTCCACTTTTGTTAAAATTCCTCTCTGTAGCCCTAGGTAGTGGCCATGGTTTCGCCTTTCAGCTCCAGGGCAAGGGTGTTGCTGTCGTTGTTGTTTTTGCTGTTGCTGCTGTTGTTCTTAGTAAGTGAGCAATTAGGTACTGGAAACAGGTGTGTGCCATGCCCGGAAGTGGACCAAACTATCCAGGAGCCACGTGCTACTTCCCAGTTCAGAAGCTGAAAAGGAGGCCTGGGAAAGGCTCTGAGCCTGGCTCTGTGTGGTGGTGCTGGCGCCTCCCCTGTTCAGTGAGTGACACTTAGCTGGTTCGGCTCTTGGCTAAGAATGATGGAGACTAACGGCTGTGCTTTTCACTGACAAAGCTAGGATAGTGCAGGAAGCTTGATGTTGAATATTTTGGGACTTGACTCTGAGAACCTCCTGTCCTTGCTTGGCCTTGTTGTGTAGTTCCCTAAGCCTAAGAGTGAGAGGAGAACAACTTGGGGGTTCCATTGTGAGTGGAAATGAGTACCGTTGCTTTAATAATAACTAGCATACGTTGAGCAGTGACCTTGTGCTGTTTTCCATTCATCAGCTCATTGAATCTTCACTATAGTCCCTTGAGTCAGTACTTATAGAGTCCCATTTTTCAAAGAGGCAATTGAGATTTCCACAGTCTTAGGACTTGGCCCAAAGCCGCAGTGACTTGACATGGCTTTTTTTTAAAGTTCCAAATCAGCACAAACATGCCATCAATGCAAGTCTGAAATAAGGGAGCTGTCGTTGTAGTTTTTTTCTCAAAATCAACCAAGACGTCCTCTGGAAAGAAATAGTCATATCCCAAGTTTGTGGAATTTTTCTTTTTTCAATTGTCTTTTTCTTGACTAGGAAAAGTCTCCACATATCTGCACAGAAGTGCGCCTATGGGCAATGGAGAAGCTTTCCAGAAAATTTAGGGGCCTGATTTCACTTTTATAAGAGAAATAGAAAATCTACCATTCACCATTAGAAGACCAAAGTAGTTCCAAATAGAATTTAAGGCAACATCACACACATTTTGATAGTTCTAAAAGCAGTCAGATTTGGTAGTTTCTGAGTAAATTTTAGACTCTCAGAAGTTTAGAGTTGGCGGTTTAATCAAATATGAATTTGTCAGCTGTGATATGCGGTTCTTTCACTCAGGAAGTCCGAATGAAGTCTGCCCCAGGCACCGCTGGCTTTCAGTTTGCCTATTGTTTCCTTCGCACTTTCTGGGCATATTTACTGCCCAGGTTCTCTGGTAGGGAGAGAGTTGCTGCCTCAGTGGGTGACTGGTAGGTGAATACCCAGATCTGGGGTGAGGGGAGGGATGGGTAGGAACCGCCAAAAGCAGGGCCTGAGGGGAATGGCCGCCATGCAGCTGAATGACTACAGAACTTCCCCCATCACTCTCCGGATAGCTTCCTGAACTGCAGCCTTCCTAACGGGGCTGCTGTACAAAGCAGGCTGGACCCTAAGAGCTCAAAGGTACCACTGGAAGCCCCCACACCTCCCCCTCTCATGTTTGACCACTACCAGCTCAGTGCCTCTTGCCGCAGTGGGTACGGGGCCCACGTGGACCCCCCACTCAGTAGTGGACACTGAGCCCGGCCTGCCAGGGCCTCTCATGGCACAGTGGGGAGGCACGTGAAATTTGGCCCATGCCCCAGCCACCCCTGATTCAAGTCATTTCCTCTGAAAAGGCCCCTGCATGGGTTCAGTGGTCTGCTGAAGTGCTCTCAGTTGCTTCCTCGGCTGTTTTTGGTCCCTTGGTAAGTGGAGAGGCCTGCGAAGGATCAGACTGCTGATGCCTCTGACCTCCCGTCGTCAGGCTGTCCTCATAGCACATCACCCCAGCGCCACACCCAGGGCGTGGGGTGCCTCTGGGACTCAGCATGGGATTCAATAGCATGCTTACCAGGTTGAGTCCCTTTTAAAAACTCCCAGATTCAGGCAACTAGAAATAGTGTTTTCAGTATTTTATTAACAAATGAATTGGTAAAAAAAAAAACAAGTTATCTGGTACTGTCACCATCCCCAACCCCATCTAGCATCCACCACGTGCCCGCCATGGTGGTAGGTGTCTAACACGCTCTCTTAGCCAGTTCTCAGTGGCTCCCTGAGTCTTGGCTCCAACTTAGTTGCCCTCGGAACTACTCAGGGGAAGGAAGAGACTTCCCTTTCTCGGGGTGGAGGTTTGGGGAGTGTGTGGGGGTGTGTGGGGAGAGAGAGAGTGAGTGAGAGAGCGAGCTTCGGTGTGGATGCCAGGGCCACAAAGGTGAGCCAGGCCTTATTCCTTCTGGAGGGCGGGCAGGGACGCTTCTTCCTGGGCAGACCAGCTTTGCCATAGTGTTAGCCTTCCGGAAGAGGTCAAGCCTTGAGAGGAAACTCAGCATTACGAAGACATCGTTCTTTCTCTTAAACCGGCTACGAGGGCATCCAGTGACCTTTGTCGGCAGACAGTGAGACCTCAGGACTAAAACAAAAGCCTGTGACGACTCCTTCTTTTGGCATCGACTTTCTAGAAAACCCTGGGTGAGTCAAATCCCCACACTGCACACATCTCAGTATCTACAGCTGGGCAGTGAGAACGTTATCAGCACATGGAGAAGCACTGAGGAAGAAGAGAGTATTCCAGATAAAACACTTCTTGTTTACTGAGTACCTTTTCTCCAAGAAACTCGGCACCAACTTGGCACCACGTCCTCAACTGTCCGGTGAAGACACAGTGACCGCCTCACTCCCCCGGTTCCTCGGGCAGGCGTTCAGAGGAGCTCAAAGTCTTATTCCTCTCATTTCAGGTTAATTAACAATAACCATGGATATACATGAATGCCTCTTCATAGTATATTTACAGCCACAGAAATGACTCAACAGAGCACACTCTTCACTGCAAAATGGTAACAGCCATGCAGGGAGTTTGCCAATCAGAGCGTCCGCGTGGAGAGCGATGTGCCTCATGAAGGCCATGGGTACCTGGCCGTCCCATCTCAGCCCTTTCGGAAATCTAAGGTGAGGAGACTGCACAGAGTGGCGTCTGCTGCCAGAGCGCCTCCCAGAGCCAAGGCCCATGAGAAGGAAAGCCTCGTCTCAGAAGCAGATAATCCGCTTCTCATCTTCAAAGGCTTTGGCCTCCTCTGGCTTTATCAAGTTTCCATTTACGCTGTTGGAGAGAAACAACACAAGTGAAATGTTAGGGACTGCTGTACGTTCCTTCCCCGCGTGTGCTCCTAACACAGCCTTGTGCTGCACGTGACCCTGAAATTCAGGAACACGCTCTAGCCAAGTACTTCTTTGGTATTAATATGAATCCTTTCCAGCTACCATTGCTCTGATCTGGGCCTCACTACGGTCACCAGTAATGGAGTGGGGAAAAGGCTACCAAGAGAGTCAGCAGGAAAACAACGTAGTTCTAGGGAAGAGATCACAGGCCATGGGGGTGGCTGGAGATTCACGCAGACTAAAGTCCTGGTAGCTCTCAGATGCCTTCCGGGCTGAGGTGTGAGCTCAGCTCCGCAGGCCCACATGCTACCATGTCCTCCATCAGTCTTGTTGGAGCCGGGTTCTCTTCTCTGGGACAGTTTTTCAAACCCTCCCCCCCCATTTTTTTTTTTTTACCACGACCCCAAATAAGAATTGCATGTTACACTGATAACCAGCATCTATGCACACACACACCCACATCTGAAACAAGATTATGAAATAAGGCTTCGCGCTGTGCACAGTGTATTCTGGGTATCCTCAATTTCATTTTTAAAATAATGCTGGTTGCAACCCACCAAACTGATTGAATGACCCAGTCACAATTTCCAGAGCGAAGTTTATAAAACTCTGTTGCAGGAGCCAAGGTCAGGGAGCTGTACCTTGCTTTTTTATTATTATTATTATTATTATTATTATTATTATTATTATTATCATTGGCTGTGAAATTCTTCTCCTCATCATAAAGAAAGTAGCTAAGAATAACTGAGCTCAGGGTGTGTATTCACAGTGAGGCCGCTCCCTGGACCTCAGGGAAGCCACGGGGAGTATGAACTCCTGTGGTCTGCGTCCTCGAGAGGAGTCCAGCTCTGCCCCCGCTGGGTCCTTATGCCCTGCAGGGCTGTCTCAGGCCCGCGGTGGAGAACAAATCCCAGAGCACTCAGGAGTCTGTGTCCAGGGCCCTGTCTGTCAGCTGGCTGCCTCTCCCCTAGCACCTGACACAGAGCTGTTGTTACTAATGGGAACCCTGCCCCCGCCCTCACCCCTGTCGCATATTCTATTAATACAAGCCTAGTGCCACCTGGGAGTGCATGTGTCTTGTGAGAGGCAGTGCAGTGGAATAGGGCTCCCTGTTACAGTAAAGCAAGCGACACGCTTTCCTTCCACTGGCATGAGCAAGTCCTCAAAGCAGAAACAACAGGAAGTTGTGAAATGGACCCGTCAGCTCAAATCCAGCCTGGAAGTGTGTCAGGAAGCCCAGAAAAGGGGAAGGACGTGCTCCAAGCTCCTCCAGGCCAGCACATCCTTCTCTCCGTCTCGTGAGTCCCAGAGCAAGTCACTGTCAGTGGGAATCCCTTCCCACAGGCTGCTTGTCCCTGTGTGACCCCAGGACGGTTGACAGGACAACGTGGCTGCGGAGGAGAGCGCTGACTATGGAGTCAGGCAGTCTGGGCAAATGCCAGCCTCTCCTGTTAGGTGTGACCTTGGTCTGGGCCTGTTTCTACCTCTGTGAAACGGACATAACACCACCTACTTTACAGGATTGTTGGAAAGATGAGGAATAAATGGAACTTACATTGTACCTGGCACATAATCAATGGTGCTGAGTAAATAAGCACTGCTCCTATCACAAGTGGTGGAAGGGTCTTACCAAATCTCCATTATGCCGGTGTTCTTCCGTAGTGCGCCTGCCAGCTGGGCAATCCCCTTGGCTGTGATCTGGTTCTGGATAAGCCTGGAGGAACAACACGTCTTTTGCATCAAATACATAACACTACTGGGTTAAATCTGCCCCCTTCATTAGGTAGTTGTAAGGGGATGGTGAGATAAGAGACAGGATCAGGGGAAGAGCTGAGTCCACAGGACTTTTAATCTGGCTAAAACAGTCTAGATCCAATCCACCAGAATAAAGGATATCCTTTAAAATGTTTAAATTTTCTATATATTTTTATAGTAAGCGTAATATATCTGTGTATTTATACAGAGCTCGTTTCATATGAGTGTGTGCTTGACATTTTTCATTGCAAGGGAGCTCATTCAAAAATGTTTGGACGGGCCGGCCGAGTGGCTCAGTTGGTTAAGAGCTCGCTCAAGAGTTTGAGCTCGGAGCAACAGCGGTTCGAGTCCAGCCCGAGCTGAGCAGCTGCTGAGCTGCCAACAGGTAACAGGATGGCTCAGCAAAAAAAAAAAAAAAATGTTTGGAGACCACCAGTCTGCACAACAAATTCTAAGAACATCATCCGGGGAACAGGCAGGCTGAGGTCTCCTTCCAGGTGGCGAGAGAAAGGCAAGGTTTAAGGTTAAGTAGCTACCAAGTGGCCACTGTCTTCTTTGCGGGAAACAAAGTCTTCTAAGATGGGATGGTGTCCTCTCCAACATCTGAGAGGCAGGGAGGAGAAATAGCCCCCTGTGCCACTCATGTATCCCAGTGGAAAAACGTTGCTAATGGGGCCTCTGAGAGCAACCCGTTTATGTTGGGTAATTGGATCATATGATCCAAATGAAACAGAGGTCTCAGACACAGCTGGGAAGCCCAGGCAGTTCCTGAAATGCTTCCCTGGGAGCTATGCTTCCAACCCAGGAAATAAATGCAGCACAAGGCAGCAATGTGTCCATGCTCCATCACAGATCCATCCCTCACTCCTAGCTATTTGTAGAATAAGGCTACTGCCGAACTTGACCCTTGGAAATTCTGGGAATTGACCCAAGAAGGCAGCGCTACCAGGAAGGTGAGGATCTATGCTGTTGTGATCGGTGAGGTTATAGAAATTCAGCATGAAGGGGCCAACCCTTTAAAGAGAAAGGAGAGCCCAGTGGTTCAAAGCTCCCCTCATATGTACATATCCACTCTCCATTTGTCAGCTACATGTCCTTGAAGTGGTAAACTTAAGCTATCTGTGCCTCAGTTGCCTGATCTCTAAAATGGGAATAACTATAAGAGAACCCTCTACCCTGGGTGGAAGGATATGTATGAGACAGTTATCGTCTGTGTCATGGTGCCCAGTGGAAGGGAGCTCTTGGCACCATTACTGCCCAAGCACACAGGACAATGCTCCCAGCCACATCTCCTACCTGCTGGGACCCCTGGGCTCAGTGGCAGAGGTGGTGACCTTCTGATAAGCTAGACCACAGTGTAACTTGACATTTTTGCAAAAGGAGCAAAAATAGAACTTGTAAGTGGGCATCGAGTTCTGCATTCAGTTAAACTCCGCATTTTCTGATCACCTCCTTCCTAGCTGCTACCACTGGCCTAGCTGGGGGCAGGGTGAGCTGCCTCCAGCCAAGGCTTGGCAAGAGGCCGGGTCAGAGGAAAGCTAAAAAGCCAGCAGTGTTCAGGCACATATGCCCGCTGGGGCCACATCCACTAGGACCAGTGTGATCCATGCCTGCACAAAGCAGCCAAGATTCACTCTAGTCCTGGCCTAGCACTGTTCTCCCTGGAGGGGCTGGCCTGGCACCTGAGAAAGGGCATGCAAAAATACAGTAATACCTTGGTTTGCAAGCATAATTCGTTCTGGAAACAAACTACTCGTATTGCAAGACATCGCTTGTTTACCACATTATAATGTATATAGAGATGTTTGTCTTGTGGAACACTCGCAAACCAAGTTACTCGCAATCCAAGGTTTTACTGTATATACATACAGGCCAGAAAGAAAAGAAAAAACAAAAAAAGATGTCAAAGTAGCACAGTCTGGCTTTTTTCAGAAATTGGTAGGGTGATCTAAAATTCATATGGAAATGCAAGGGACCCAGAAGAGCCAATCTTGAGAACAAAGAACAAAATTGGAAACTCATACTTCCTGATTTCAAAACTTACTACAAAGTTATAATAATCAGGACAGTATGTTGCTGGCATAAGAATAAACATATGGCTAGATGGACTAGAATAGAAAGTCCAAAAATAAATCAATAAACCCATACATTTATGGTCATTTGATTTTTAGCAAAAGTGTCAGGGCCATTCAAAAGGGAGAGTCTTTTCAACAAATTGTGCTGGGACAGCTGATATCCACATGCAAAAAGAATGAAGTTGCAGCCTTACACCTCATACCATACACAAGAATTAACTCCAAATGGATCAAAGACCTACATGAAGAGCAAAGCTATAACACAGAAGAAAACGTAGGTGTAAATCTTGTGAGCTTGGATCAGGCAGTGATTTCTTAGTAAAATACCTAAAGCCCAAACAACCAAAGAAAAAATAGATACATGGACTTCATCAAAATTAAAATCTTTTGTGCTTCAAAGGTCACTATCAAGAAAGTGAGAAAACCCACAGAGAGAAAATATTTGCAAATTGTAAATCTAATAAATGTCTGCTACCCACAATATAAAAAAACTCTGACAACTCAGCAATACAACGACCCAATTTAAAATAACCCAATTTATAAATGGGCAATGATGTGGAGACATTTCTCCAAAGAAGATACACAGATGGCCAACAGGCACATGAATAGATGCCAAACATTATTAGTCACCAGGGAAATGCCAATCAAAACACCCACTAGGATGGCAAGACTCAGAAAGATGGACAATAACAAGAGATGGTGAGGATGCAGGCAAACGGGGACCCTCACACATTACTGGTGGGAATGTAAAGTGATGCAACCACTTTGGAAAACCCTCTGGCAGTTCCTCAAAAAGTTAACAGAGAGTAACCGTATGAGCCAGCAATTCTGTTCCTAAGTATACACCCAAGAGAAATGAAAACATGTTTCCACGCAAGCATGTCCATGAAAGTTCACAGTAACATTATGCATGATAGTCAAAAAGTAGAAACAACCCAAATGCCACCAACTTATGCATGGATATACAAAATGTGGGCTAACCATACAATGGAATATCACTTGTCCATAAAAAGCAATGAAGTATTGATACATGCTATAAAGTAGATGAACCTTGAAGACTTAACGCTAGTGAAAGAACACAGAGAGAAAAGGTCACATACTGTATGATTCCATGTCTATGAAATGCCCAGGATAGGCACATCCATAGAGACTGAACGTAGTCAGTGGTTGTCAGGGACTGGGGAGGAGCAGGGTGGGACTGCTTACTGCTTACAGGTTCAGGGGGTAGGGCAAGGGAGTAGGTAAATTAGATAGTAGCGATGATTGCACAACTTTGTGAATATACTAGAAACCTCTGAATTGCACGATTTTAAAGGGTGGCTTGTATGGCATGTGTGTTTAATCTCAATCTTTTATAACCATAGCACCGTCTGAAATTGTAAGGTTCTCTGAGTTACCATAAATGTTTCAACGTCTGGTTGACTTCCAACATCTCTGCCATGCTCTCTGCCACTTCATCGTTGAGCTCGTTTTTGGTGAGCCTAGAAAAGAAGGGATGTGTTTACTCGGGTGAGCCCTACCTGGCACACATTTTTAATGAATTCATAGAAGTGGGATTCCAGCCCAGGTATCTCCAGGTTACGTTAATGATTACTTGGTGAAAATCCAGTAAACAGCCGGCCTCCAGGGCCAGCGTCCAAGCTCCATAGATGATAAATGGTGATTCATTTCTAGGGCAAACCCTTTACCCGAGCTCCTACTTCAGAAGGGCCCATACCTCCTCCCCATCCTTGCTGAGCCCTCAGATCTCACAGGAGATGGGGCCCCCACAAAATGCTCTTCCATTTTGTAAGGAAAGGATATACACATATAGTTGCATATATGTACATTTGAATGCTAGAAAGCTAGATGTACTCTCAAAGACTAGAAGAAAAAGGTTATATTTGGAAAACACGAAGGGGGAGGTACTTTCAATTACTAGTTTTCAGACCTCAGTGTTACATTTTTTCCCAAAAAGCATATATTACTTTTCAAAATATTTTAAAATATTTTTTTGAGGGAAGAAGAGTTAAGAATGCATTTACTGGTCAGGCAGGCCTAGCGTCAGAATGCTCCTAAAAATGACATTTTCATGAACTTAACCAATATCTCATGAGCACTGAGCTGTGAGGAGAGGGTGCAGAGACACACAGCACCATTTCCTCACCTGTAAGGAACTTATGATGCAGGCAAGTAAATCCAATACAAATAAATAAAATAGAGTAAATGACCCAAAGAAAAAGGAACACAAAAAAAGAACATGTCAGAAGGTAACACACACTTAATGAGCGCCCCTGGAGTGCAGAGAGAGAATGAGGTCAGTGGGCTCCCTGTGACAGGTGACAGGTGAAGGCCCATCCTGATGTGGCTGCCAGTTTTGAGGCATAGCTGAGGGTGTTCTGAGGCCACTCCAGACAGAATGACCAGCTTTCTGCTTTTCTTGAGGCTCAGGGCGGCAGAGAAGGCGTCAAACTCACGCCCCGGGGCCCACTGCCCCCTTCTGTACTTGTTTGTGCTTCCAGGAATGGCTGTTTTCTTGTCTAGCAGAAAATGACCAACCTAACATTGAGAAAAGGCCTAGAGCCTTTTTAATGGAGAAGCAGCTTTTCAATTAAAATCCCAAGCTGTACGCAGTCTTTGGAATACTCCCCGAGACCCGGCCTTTCAAAATGACTCCGGTTATTACCAGAATATTTTCAGAGACGCGTTCCACCGCAGCGCCTGCGCGAGGCTCTTTCCTCCTTCTGTGGAGATGCCGTTGAACGCAAGACTAGGAAGCAGAACACGAGGGGTGGATTATTAGAGACCCATCTACATTTGCCTTTGGCTTCAGCAGCCAAAGCAGCCGGGAGACTCCACCTGGAAGGTGGCCCTGCCTGAGCTGATGTGAGGCAGGAGGTAGAAATGCTTGGCCTCGCCAGAGCCGACTAGGCTTTGCTGCTCTAGCATCCATGCTCAGAGCATGAGGTCAGGTGCAAGGCTGGTGAAGGAGGGGCCAGACAGGAAACAGAACACTGGCGAGGCCAGGCCACAGTGCAGCCTGGAGGCTCAAGAGGCCTGCTGAGCTCTGCTGACATTTTCCAGGTGCCTGCCAATGAGAGTAGGGGTTTCCTCTGCTCTCAGAAAGAAGGAACTCTGCTATTGCCCCACCATCTCAGACCCTCTTTCACCAGCAGGAAGAACACAATAGGGGGACCCCCAAGGCTCAGAGGTTTGGCCAGAGACCCAGGACGGCCAGGAAGAGCATGTCCGTGGACAGAGATGAAGGGTCCCCTCTGTCCAGGCGCCATCCTGAGAATGAGGAAAGGGTAGTATCCCTTCCAGTTTTATCTGGATTTCAGAATTCCTCCCCACCCCCAAGGGGCATGGGGAGATGGCCGAGGGGCTGGCAGTGTCCTATGTCTTGACCTGGGTGGTGGTTACATTGGTGTGTGCCTATATCAAATCACCGAGCTGAACACTTAAGAGTAATGCTTTACTGAATGCCTCTTATATGTCAATAAAAACATTTAAGAAAGAAAAAAAATCACACACACCTAAATACCACCCCCATCCAGAAAGCCAACCATCCTCTGGCCCCGAGGTTCACGGAGTGACCACGGGTTGACCCCTGGAGACAGTGAGTGTCAGGCGGCCAGTTACCTCAGGTTGGTCAAGCTGGGATGGTTCCTCAGAGCCTCTGCGAAGGCCTTGGCTCCTTCGTCACCGATGGTATTGCCCCACATCCTGAGGGCAGAGGCAAGACAGTGAAAGTTAGTTCACACTAGTCCTTATTTCACAGCTGGACTGTACACTCCAGGCAGATGGTTTTGCTCCCTGGAGCTGTGGCCTGGAGACAGATTCCTACGCCAGCCCCCTAGGGAGCTGTCCTGGATTCCAAATTCAAAGGGAAACGTAAGGATACAGGGCAGTAGACGCCTTGGGAACAGAAGTCCATCAGCAAGTTGCACAGTTACAGCCGAAGTCTCACCCCTGAGCTTTCAGAGAGTAGTCTGGCAGTCAGACAGCCTAAACTCATGACTGTTCCAGAAATGCTACCTGCAGAGTATACAGGTTCGCAGCAGCCTCAAAGGAAGGCCTGCGGAGGTGCTGGACTGCCAGCATCCCTTCGACTCTGTGCAAGGGACAGACATTACTGAAGACACAGTCAGTCTTCCATGGAGCCAAGGTCAGGAAGCACATTCAGAGGCCTTCACAGCCTGATCCCTTCATGTAAAGAGGACGTCAGCACATCGTGCTGTGTGGATTATTGCGGTTTGGGTGGGGAGCTGCAATGACGAAGCCATACTCTCACCCCTAGAGCAGCTCACCTGAGATCTGGCTAAAACGAGGGCGTGCAGAGCCAGACTTCGCATCCTGGCTTTGCACACACTTGGGCGAATGATGTGGTCTCTTGGATCTTAGTCCCCTTGTCTAAAAAGGGGGGATACTAAGAGCATTTTCTCTCAGAGTTATGAGGATTAAGTGAGCAAAGCACTTAGAAGAGCCACTGGCCTATCGGATAAGCACCAGCTCGTCCTAACAGGCTGAGGGACACCGTCTACACAAAGCAAAGCGAGCCTGCCCGGCTCACGCACAGCAGAGCCCAGGCTGCCTCAGCAAAACACTCTCCCCAAGCCGGCGATCTGCCTCCATGCCTCCCCGCATGGCTCACTGATACCCCAGAATGAGAGTTTTCAGTGTTCTGCTTAAAAAGTGGGTGCGCTATTCAATTGCATGGTATCAAATTTTTAATTAAGTGAAAAAGATAGAATAAAATTCTGTACCTATAGTTTGACCTCTCCTATGTTAAAAAAAAAAATAGGATACAGAGAGTATATGTGTGTGTGAGCGACAGCAAGAAAGCTTAACCCACCTCAAATGTTGACAACAATTATTTCTGAGAAAATGATTTTTATTATACTTTTCATAATTTCCACAGTTTCCAAATAAAATTATCCATGTTTCTTTTATAATAGTAAAAAAATATGACAATATAAAAAGCTTTAAAAACCTGCGAAGTCAAAACTGCAATAAGATACCACCTCACACCCTTTAGGATGGTTACAATAAAAAACAAAACAGACAAACACAACAAACAAAAACAGAAAATAACAAGTGTTGGCAAGAATGTGGAGAATTTGGAACTCTTGTGCACTGTTTGTTGGTGGGATTGTGAGACGGCATGGCCACTGTGAAAAACAGTATGGTGTTTCCTCAAAAAATTAAACACAGAATTACCATGTGATCCAGCAATTCTACTTCTGGGTACAGAGCCAAAAGAACTGAAAGCAGGGTCTTGAAGAGATCTTTGTGCGCCATGTTCATAGTAGCATTATTCACAATAGACAAAAGGCAGAAGCAACGCAAATGTCCATCCACAGATGAACGGATAAAGCCAATGTGGTTACACATACAATGGGTTATTGTTCGGACACAAAAAGAAGGCAATTCTGACATATGTTGTAACATGGATGAACCTTGAGGACATTAGGCTAAGTGAAATCAGCCGGTCACAAAGAGACAAATAGTGTATGATTCCACTTGTGTGACGTACTTAGAGCAGTCAAGTTCATAGAAAGCAGAATGGTGGTTGTCAGGGGCTGGGGGAGGCAGGAGGGAGTGGGAAGTTGGTGTTTAACGGGTACAGAGTTTCTTTTCTGCAAGATGCAAAGAATTCTGGAGATGGACAGCAGAGATGGTCGTACAAACTATCTACGAATGTACTTAATGCCACTGAACTGTGCCCTTAAAAATGATTAAAATGGTAACTTTTATGTGATGTGTTATTATACCACAACAAAAAATTGAATTGAAAAAAATCTCCAGAGAACATATAATATTCTTAAAGTGAAGGACACCTGCCTGTGGAAACTTACCACACAGGACTAGACCAGCTCCCTCCACTCGCTGGCAGTGATAATACTGACTTTTGCGTGAATTAAATAAAAGTCCATGCAATTGAATTTGCAGTCAATCCTGGGATTCCCCACAGCGTTTCCCATGCAAAAGCCAGTGGGGCCCACTAGGGCCTCCGTGAGGGAAGCTCTCTGGGTCTCTCCCCACAGCTTGCCCAGGGGTCCTGTTGGTGTCTTTATGGACCAGGAGACCAGAAGGTGCTCAGGGACACAGAACAGGTTGTATTATACACACGTATGCGCTTCTCTCTACTCACCCAACTTCAATGATTGATTTGCTGTTCTTCACAGCCAGGGCAAGACACTTTCCTCCTTCGCTCGTTATTTTGTTTTTTCCCAGTCTGCAGAAGGAGTCGTGCACACATCAGTCTCCGGCTGTGAGGGGACTCAGCCAGTCCCATCCCCAGCACAAAGCTCTCTGGCCCCTCAGGAGAAGTGGCCTTTCTCCTGGGACCCACAGCCGCTACTCCCTCAGCTCCCACTCAGGGAAGGACCTGAAGCATGACGAAAGCAAGTAAGGATTCCTCCCCAGGAGATGGTCACAGTCTCTGCAGAAACCTAGGGACACAAGCTTTCCCGGGGCCTCTTTAAATGACCTCCGGAGCCTCACTCATCTCCATCAGCAGACGAGGGAGGTGCCTGCTTCAACTGCAAATAGTCAAGATGTGTGTTCACGTCACCAGGTCAGCACCAGGGATCTCTCCAAGCCTGCTGCACTGTCACCCTTGGCAGGGTATTTCTATGACTGGGCCAAGGATCAAGCTCTTGCTTGCAACTCGGTTGGTGCTCTGGTCTGAATGTTTGAGTCCTCTCCCAAATCCGTATTCCATGTACCTAACCCCTAGGGTGATGGCGTTAGGAGGTGGGGCCTTTGAGAGGTGATCAGGTCATGAGGGCCCTCAGGAATGGGACTAGTGACTTTATTTATAAAAGAGACCCCAGAGAGCTCTGTTGCCCCCTTTCCCATCATGTGAGGACACAGCAAGGCCCCATGTAGAAAACAGAATCAGGGCCCTCACCAGACACCTAACCTGCCAACACTTTAATCTTGGACTTCCCAGCCTGTGAGAAATAAATTTCTGGTGTTTGTAAGCACCCCAGCTTATAGTATTTTGTTATAGAAGCCTGAATGGACTAATACAATGAGGAGCTTCCTTGGGGGGGAAACCCTTCAGAAAGGGTGATGGCGGTGGCCTTCCTTCCTGGCGGAAGTTAATGAAATAAAAATGCCGGGCTTTCTCCCTCCCATGGTAGGTGGCCCTTCCAAAGTCCCAGCCTCATCCACAGGTCAGAAATCCCGCCTGTGGCCACTCAGATCTCCTAATTTGACCAAGAAGACCCTGGGGCAGGCAGACAGCAACTTTAGGGTGCGAGCTCTTCACAGTGACTTAATTCTTTGTTTGAATAATGAAGGGTGACCAAGAGAAGCTACTGAAGAACCAGCCACGCCCACCCCACTTACTTCAGGTGTGTGAGGCTTTTGCATTCATCCAGGATTCTGGCGATGTACCTGGCTCCCACGTCAGTGATCTGGTTGTTGTATAAGCTTCAAGAGAGAGCACAGCCATAAGATTCTTTGATGCCCGAGATCATCTTAGTGGCCCCCCTTTTAGAAAATGAGGATGTGCTGTCTGATTTCCGAAGTCTGGGTTGAAAGGAGAAAGGCAAGGCACGTGGAGACCGGAATTTGGGGCTCTGGGGCCTCCCAGGCTGGATTCAAAGCTCTATGACCTGGGACAAGTTACTTAGCCTCTCTGTGCCTCGGTTTCTCCACCTGGGATACAGGGTTCGGAATGATAGCTCCCTTACAGGGTTGTCATGAGAATTATATGAGATCATTCCAAGCCCTCACATGTAAGTGCTCAATAAATGGCAGGTGATGGGTAATTTTAGGTTAAGATAACGATCAACATTTTGATGAGGAACAGTTTCTGAGTCCTGGCACCTCCTCAGTGTCTACCTATCAGTCACTTCACGGCTTGATACCAACTCAGCAATATGCAGAAAGAAGTTGAAAGTGGTAACTAGACAGGATCAAAGGGTTCCACAGTCACACGGAACTCCCAAGTTGAAAGGCAGCCTGGGATTATGGGCTTGAGTGGCCTCCTTTCTTAGCAGAGGGAACTGAAGCCCAGGGAAGCTGACTCCAGAGTCAGCAGTGGCTGTGGAGCTGGCTAGACGGACCCACACTCTCTTATCTCAAATTCCAAAATTCAAGGCTCCAAAAACCCAAAGGTTTTCATAACTATTTTGGCAACTGATAGGGAGCTATTCATGGTCTTTATCCCAACTGGTTTGAATATTCATACGTTTTGCTGCAGGAATATTAAGTATTTGAACATGGGGTATTGCCCTAGACCTCACTGGTGATGTCACTACTATGCAGCACGTACACTGAATTCTAATCCGTGCCTTGCCCCAGGGGTTCTGGATGAGGGGTCATGGACCAATAGAAGTGAAATCTAATACATAAACAGTAATGTTTATAAAACCTATCCCCAGATATTCTCATTGCATCCCCCAGTCACCACTCTTTCAGCCGCTTGCCTATATGAGGCTCCCAGTTATTCAAGTGAGGAGGCTGAGGCCCAGCGTGACCTCCTGACTTGCCCAAAGAGTCGGCTGCTGGCTACGCCAAGAGCAGAACCCAGCACTCCTAGTTCCCAGTCCAGTGCTCTTCCTGGTGCTCCTGGCCATCAGTGCCAACCAACTGGTGACCCACGTAAATGGCAATTTCCTACTGCCCTATATTATTGCCAAGTAGCTGGCCCAGTGTTCTTGAGAAATACATACCCTAAATACGTCAAAATTTTGTACTTGGTCAGCTCTTCATATAGCACCTTGACCCCACAGTCGGTGATCTGGTTTACACTGAGTCTGAAACAAAACAGCGGAGAAAGTTACAAATCAGAGCAGCCCCTCACTGTGAGGGAGAGCATTCATTCCATAAGAATCCAGGAGCCTAGAAGTCCTGGAGTTCTCCCAGCTATAAACGCCCCCAGAGAGAATGGCCGTAGCTGTCAGCCAGACAGCCCCTGAAGAGCCTGGTTGTCGTTGGGCCAACAGACCCACCCAGAACGAGCCCATCAGAGATGCGGCTGGACCGTGCTGACTCGGCACAAGGACTAGGAGGGACGTGAGGACAGCTACCTCTGATACCCTGCAGTGTGGGTAGCCTATGTGCCAGCTCGATCTTCAGCAGGGTTCTCACTGCACAGTGGGGCCATGGCGTTTGGAAGTGTGTGGAGCTGCCTTTAGTGGTTACAAGGCTGGAGAGGGAACGTGCCACCATCTTGCAAGTGGGGCCAGAGACGTTTTTGCCCTGCAAAAAGCACACCAGCCCCCACAAGAACTGTCCCACCCCAAATGCCAACAGTCTCCCTAGCCAGGAACACATGGGTGAAACCTGACTTGCCACCTGAAAAGATCTGTTGAGGGCAACTTCTTATGGGGTGTGGTTCTGTGTGCGAAAATGCAAATGGCAATAGAGGAACACCAGAGTCGTGATCAGAAGGGGCAAATCTCCGCAACTGCACAGTCCAACTGCTCTTTCATGCAAATGCTGCCTCAGTAGGCCAGGCTTAGAGAGGGGGTGAGGCAGGAAAAGAGGCCTCTGGATGACGGACAGCTCCTGTATAAAGGCCTGCCACACACCGGAATTGCTCTGCAAAATCCCTATGCTAGCAGGATATTTTGATGTGGCTAAAATACAAAATAATTTCTTTACTACTAGGCATACCTCATTTTATTGCACTCCGCAGATACCATGTTTTTTTTACAAATTGAAGGTTTGCGGCAACCCTGCCTCGAGCAAGTCGATTGGCACCAAAAAGATTGTGACTTGCTGAAGGCTCAGATGATAAGTCAGCATGCTTTAGCAATACAGTATTTTTTTAATGAAGGTGCGTACATTTTTTATTGACATAATGCTATTGCACATAATAGGCTACAGTATAATGTAACCATAACTTGTATCTGCACTGGGAAACCAGAAAACTCGTATAACTCACTTTATTGTGATATCTGCTTTATTGTGGTGGTCTGGAATTGCACTCATAATATCTCTGAGCTGTGATTGTAATCCTTGTAACAAACTACCCTGACCTTCTCAATCCTCCACCCCATCACTTATGCGAGGCTGAGGGACAGGTAAGCCTCAGGGATGGATGGGAGTGAGGCATGAGGTGAGGTCAGGGGCTGGGTGAGGTATTTTAATAAACCAGTGGCCAGCACATTTTTTCTGTAAAGGGCCAGATTGCAAATAGTTGAGGCCCTGCAGGCCCTATGTTCTCTACTGCAACCACATAGCTCCATAGTGTGAAGCAGCTAATATGTAAACAAATGGGTGTGGTTGGGTTCTAATAAAACTTTATTTACAAACACCACCTGTGGGCCAAATTGGGCCCACAAGCTGACCTTTGTAGTAAGTAAAAGGCTGAACAGGTAAAAGCTTGATTTTTAGGCCACATCCAAATGATCAGGTCAGACACTCTGGCCCCCTCGCCTCATGAAACAACCCCCCCCCCCTTGGTGATGGGGCACAGTATTTGTACTGTGAGGCCATCCCAGGGTGGCAGGCTTCCACACTCCCAATATCTACGCTTTCTTAGAAACAGAATCCCCCATTTTTTAGCTGGCACACGTGATCAAGTTATGCCCAATGAAATCTAAGTAGAAGTTTCATTAGCAAGAATAGTTGAGAATTCTTTTTAAAACAATGGAGTGCGTTCTTTGTCCTTCCTTCTTCCTGGTGGCTAGAATGTTGACTGAATGGCTGGGGCCTGAGCAGCCATCTTGGGCCAAGAGGTGGAAGTCAGGTAGTGAGGGCGGCAGGGCGGCAAGGCAGAAGAGAGGCTCGGCTCCTGATTGTCATGGAAGCACCACAGCAGCCCCCAGCTGCCCTCCTCTAATCCTAATTGATGCCTTCAGGGAACTCAAAATGCTTCCCCGGGGTGGCCCATTTCCTGCTGTCTCCTGTGGAGGAAAACTTAGGCACAGCTGCCTGGAGCAGGACCACCAACCACACTGGTGTGGAGTTTCCATGTTATGGGATGAGCACAGGAAGGCACTGATGTGACATTGCCTGAGGCTGCAGATGGCGAGGTGCTGGCTGAGCTCAGAGGAAGACTGTAGGCCTCCCAATTCCCAGGCCAGGGCAGCCTTGGGCTCCCTACCCCACAGTCCCCACAGAATTACACGCTGGCATTGGCATAACAGTTCCAAATCCCTCCTGCTCTCCAGAAGTGCATGAGCCAAGTAATGGAGACCTGAATCCCTGGAGAGATTCACGAGGTATATTCTATACAGGAAATGCTAACAGAAGAAAGCAGACTGGCCTCTCTTTCCTCCAAACTGTCAAATAAGAAACTAGTCAAGAGTCTGCATTCTTGACTGAGATAGCTGGCAGCTCAGGGCTGCTGGCTTTGATCATGAGAAGTAACTAACGCCAACCAGCACAAAGTCTGCTTTTTGTGCAATCATAAAAGCTTTTCGCGGGCTACCTCTGAGCCTCACGTGAATCTCAAAAGGTCGGTTCTTTATGATGATCCTGGCTCCACCATGGCTCAGCTGTGTGACCTTGAGCAACTTACTAACTTCTCTGTGCCTCCACTTCCTCGTTTGCCAAAGTAAAGACAATAACAGTACCTACTTTATAGCATTGTTAAGAGGCTTAAATCTGGTAATATTTATAATGATTTCACCCATTCTCAATGAATGCTGACTATTATTACAGTTGACCCTTGAACAACATGGGTTTGAATTGTATGGGTCCACTTACATATAGATTTTTTTCAATAAATATACCAGAAAATTTTTTTGAGTTTTGCAAAAATTTGAAAAAACTCGCAAATAAACCACATAGCCTAGAAATGTCAAAAAAAAAAATTTAAGTTTGGTATGTCATGAATGCATAAAATATATGTACCTATTTTTTTTATGGTTTTCTTAATAACAATTTCTTTTCTCTAGCTTTATTGTAAGAATACAGTATATCATACATATAACATACAAAATATATGTTAATCAACTATGTTATCAGTAAGGCTTCCATTCAACAGCAGGCGATTGGTAACTAAGTGTTTGAGGAACCAAAATTTATATGTGGATTTTCAACTGCGGGCGGTCAGCACCCCTAACCCCCACGTTATTCAAGGGTCAACTGTACTGTAATTGGTAGGATATGAGCATCTCCTTTCTCCAGATTAGGACACTGAGGCTCAGAAAGGTGAAGCACCTTGCTCCACACACCCAGCAGGGGCTGATTCAGGTCTGCCGGACTTGGAAGCTTTGCTGCCTGGCCCTCTGCCACCCTGAGACAGAGAAAGTCCAGGTATTCCAGGACCAGTGGTCGCAATTCTTAGGGTAATCCAGGAGATGGCACTCCAGGACGCTGGTCCTGGTGTGTGTGCCCCAAGCTTGGCCCACCCCAGCCCTGCCTGGCGGCCTCACCTGACGACGGTGAGCCGGCTGAAGCAAGGCTGCAGCTCGCGCACACCATAGTCATTGAGGTTGTTGTTGTCCAAATCCAGGGCGAGCCGCTTGCGGAAGTGGTGCAGCACGAAGGACAGCGCGCTGCAGTCGGCGGAGTAGGCATTGCAGTAGGTCAGCTTGAGGTAGTTGGCGCAGATGCCCCGGGCCGCCAGCTGCCCCACCTTCTCGCTCTGTGTTTCGTAGATGCAGCGCAGCATCCAGATGAAGGTGGGCATGGCCTGCACCTGGTTGAAGCCCCCAGTCCGAACGCGGGGCAGGTTCTTCATGTAGGCCCGCAGGCTGGCAAACAGGTGTGCCCACAGGGCTTTGCGCTTCCTCCGCAGGGTGGCAGCCGGCACCAGGTGCCGCAGGAGCTTCTGTTTGGCTTTGGACAGCAGGCCGCACAGGAAGAGGTTGGTGAACTGCAAGTGATCCTTCTTCTTGAAGGGGTCATCCCTCGCTAGGCCGCTGTCCCCCAGGCACTGGAAAGGGAGGAGGCGGGGAGAGCAGGAAGTCTCTGCTACCTCCCCAGGAGGCACCCACTCCTGGAAGAACCTGAGCAGCTCCGGAGTGCTCACCTTGTCGTCCACCACGAGGAAGAAGGCGGTGAAGAAGGCCTGGAGGGTGATGTGGAAAAACTCATAGGACGGCTGATCCCCGCCAAGGCCCAGCTCGGGCATCGCCCTCAGGAAACCCAGCTGCAGGTCCCCCTCCTGCACGTCGGAGGCCTGCACCTCCTCCTGGCTGAAGACAAACAGGTTCTTCTCCATGCCCCAGTGGGCCACCTGCCCCAGCGAGTGCAGGGTGCCCCGGCCCGCATGGAAGGTCTCCGTCTGGCTCCGCGTGTTCCTCTGCACCAGGCTGGTGGGCTGCGTCCTGTTCAGGTGGACCTCAGTGACCAGCAGGAAGACATCGGTCAGGGTCACCGTGCAGTCCGGCAGCTGCGGGGAGCTGTCGAAGGCGCTGTAGAAATGCTGGAAGCAGCGGAAGATAATCCAGCAGAAGAGGGGCACGGCACACAGGCTGCAGAGGTTGGGGTTGGCCTCCAGCTGGCCCAGCAGACGGTCCCGCACCGCCCGGTCGGGGAACATCCTCCTGGTGTAGGCCCGCAGGTGGCTCGGGGAGAAGCCCCGCAGAAGGACCTTCTTCCGAAGGTGCTGGCGTGGGATCTCAATGCCTGTGCGGGCCGTGAGCAGCTTGGCGGCCCCCTTGAGCAGTGTCCCGCTGAGCAGGTTGGCCAGCAGGACCAGGGGGTGGGCGGGTTCCCAAGGCGAGGAGGCGTCGGGCACGCAGCTCAGGTCGAAGTCTGAGTGGAGCTCGTCCAGGCCGTCGAAGGTAAAGAGTGCCGTGTGGGGGAAGCGCAGCAGGAAAGCGAACACCTCCTCGGGGTCCTGCTCCGGGTAGCAGTAATGCTTGAAGAGCAAGTCCTGCAGACTCAGCGTGTCGCTCGCCTTGAAGCAGCTGAACATGCGGCAGCGGAAGTGGAAGAAGAACTTGAGCCCCGCGTCCAGCTGGCCCGCGGCCCAGAGGCTCTGCAGCCGCTGCAGCAGCATGGACTTGCCCACACCGGCATCGCCGAAGACGAAGATGGTCTCGCCCTGCTCGTTGAGGATGCCCGTGGAGTGGTCCAGGAGGCAGGCCAGACTGTCCAGGTTGCCCAGACTCTCATGGTCAAATCCCACCAGCTCCACGATGGTGTCCGTGTAGGTGTCCTCCAGCAGCAGCTCCTCCTTCTGCGCGTAGCACAGGATGAACTTGGAGTTGCGGCCCAGTTGGTGGCGCAGCTTCTCGGTGTACCTGCTCACTGGAGGCAGAAAGAGAGAGAGAGACAGAGAAGAAGCCAAATGGTATCGAACAGGGAGGTCTTGGGAGAACAAGTAAGCACACAAACTCACAACCTAGACCCTGAGGCCAATGGCAAGGACTCCTCAAATGAGGGCCCTCAAGACTCTCAAGGAGCCAGAGCTCCAGTACGTGTAGGTCCTCAGGCCTTGACACCTCTTCCTGACCTCAGAATTAGCCAGCCAGAGGGCGACAGCCTTCAACTGGGACCAGTGTCTGAGACACGTTCCCATACTCCTCTGCACAAGTTGTCACTGCACTTCAGCTGAAAACTGAAGCTCCCTCACACTCCAGGGCCTCGTTCAAATAGCCGGAGCCAGTCCCCATTGAAACCTGTATTGTTGAGGAAGAAATTGCCCTAACCTTTCTTCCACTGCTCTTGAAATAACACATATTCTCACAAAACCAAATGCCAAAACTTTGGGGGATAAAATACAACATTCAATGTCAATCTGGATGACAATGGAGCTGTGCCACATCTAAAACCCCACAGCTGAGTCAACTTAAATGAAAACAGTCTTCTTATACAATGCAGAGCACATCAGCCCTGGCCCCAAGCTGAGTCCTGGGCATCACTGATGCTGAGCACGTGCCCCAGGGTGAGTGCCTGCCCACAGGGGAGTTGATGCAGTAACATGCGTACATGGGCACCACGCTTTCAGCAAACCAGGGCTATGAAATGGGGCGTCACACCAGGAGCAAGGTAGCTCATCCCCAGACAAAAGGATGTCCCATGAATTCCTTTAAAATAGTTTTTGGATTTTAATTGTCATTCAAATAACAAATATTTGACACACATGCACATTTTCAGATTTATCTACAAGCCTTCCCCATCAATTTAGTCCAACCTGACTGTCTGCTTAAAATTTGTGAAGTGAATTATAGTTTTACTAACGCATCATTTACATACCATAAAATTCACCTCTTTTACAGTAGATATTATGGACTCGTCAGTGATTTGGGGTGAATTTACAAAAGCTTCACAAATGTCACTGCATTCCAGTTCTAGAACATCTCCATCCTCAGTCCATCAGCTGCCAATCTCTGCCCCCACCCCTGGCCCTAGGCAACTGCCCATCTGCTTTCTGTCTCTACAAATTTGCCTTTTCTGGATGTTTTATATAAATGGAATAATCATATAATACATAGTCTTTCACATCTGGCTTCTTGTAGAGTGAATTATACTTTAAAAGCTATCAAAGTAGCTGGCTAAAGGAACCAGTGGAGTCTTTTAAAAGGATTATTCATCATGGGACTATTTTCCTTCATGGGGGAAGGGAGCCAAGTGAGGTGGGAAGAACAGTAAGAAACTGCCCGGGCTGCAGAAGCGAGAGCTCGGCCCTGACACTCTGCCGGTTGGCCTGGTTTCCCCTGAACACACACCTGTCTGGGACACGGTCCTTTGTTTTTGTTTTCAACGGCAAACTGGATCCTTTAAATAGTGTGGGACCTTGGTGCTGGTATGTTGCCAACAACTGTCTCAGAGTGGCGAGAGCAAGAGCATGGAAAGGAGACCCTCTGGGCCCCAGACCAGATCAGGCCGCGAGTATGTGCCCACACATCACCTGGAACTGCTGTTGTCCTCATCGCTATTTGCAACGATACATGTGTGTGATGGTTTTACTATCGCTCTCCTGCATTAGCCTCAGAGGCTCCCAGGGCAGAAACTATATCTGGGTCTGCTCTCCCTGGTACCCCTGGCATCCAGCACGGTGCCTGGCACATAGTGGGTACCTCATTAACACCTGTTGAACTAACCGCTTAACAAATGGGGGCCATGGTGCTTTGGAAATAAGGACTGGCAGTCAAGGGTGATAGGAGAATACTGTGCACAGAATCAAACCTGGAAAGATTGTTAAAGTGGGGGAAAATGCCACCTTGAATTTGTGCAACCATGAGAATGTCTACATATGTCAGAATAGGAAGTAAGCAAGGGTCAGTCAGAACAGGGGCTATTCCCACACTTCCACGGGCCCCTACGTGAACCAGACCAGTGGTCATGTGGTCACTTCAGTCGCAGTCCCCTGTGCCGCACAGTCCCCCGGGCAATAGGGACCAGCTCCCCTTTTCTAAAAGGAACACAGTCCCTGGAGCCTGCAGCCTGCAGTGGAAGGGAGGGCTGGCCGTGGTGGACCAGCGTTGAGGCCCTGCTGGGCCTACACCCTGCAGCATTTCCACACCCCAAGGTTTCCACACCCCAAGGTCTCGTCTGCTTGGCGTCTGCAGTCCCCCAGGGGCTGACGCGTACCTGGGTCCGTGTTGACGACAGCTTTGCTCTGAATGAGCTTGGAAGGGGAAAAGCCGATCTGCAACAGCCATGGCCCGAGGTCCACGTAGGCGTCTGCGAGCTGCTGGAGCACATACAGGAAGAACTCGGACACCTCCTCGCCTTTGCTCTGGACCATGTCCAGAATCTTGCGGACCTGGTGGCAGCACAAGCATGAAGGTGTGAGCTGGCACTGGAGGTGTCCTCCCACTGGAAAGGCCCGCAAGGCAGGGCTGCGGCTGTAGCCTCGAGCTTGACTGTCCACCCAGCCGGTGTGAGATGCTATGTGTTGATGCCTAGAATCTGTGGGATTCTAGAAATAAAACCACACAGCTCTAAGAAGCCAGGAGGCTCCCAGAGGCCTAAAAATGAAAGGGTCAGGTTCACAGAGGGCCGTGCCCACCCCTGGAATTTTCTCTATGTCCCCTATTCCCTTCTTTTTTTTTTTTTTTAAGCTGAGCCATCCTGCTACCTATTGGCAGCTCAGCGGCTGCTCAGCTCGGGCTGGACTCGAACCGCTGTTGCTCAGAGCTCAAACTCTTGAGCGAGCTCTTAACCAACTGAGCCACTCGGCCGGCCCTCCCCTATTCCCTTTTGACCTAACACTACTGCTCTTCAGGAATGAGCACCGAGGGGAGGAAGTCGCCCCTGGGCCACATGGCTAGGGGATGACACACCCCCTGTAAGTTTTACCTTTGAACAAAAAAGGCTTTTGGTATCATTAAAAATGCAGGAAAACAATTACACGAGTTACCACGCTTTCCCCAGAAACCCTTCTGATCTCTTCCAAGCCCAGCAGGATCCAGGTTCTGTCACTCCTCTAAGCAGAAAGGAGTTTGGGGTCTCGCCAATTTTATTTTTCATAAGATGGCACATGCTAGGGTAAAATGAAGGGCTGTTTCGACTTCCCACAATGAGGTGGGAACATTTCTTAGTGTGGACCTGGCTTCCGACCCAGAGGCGAGGGCTGTGCTCAGTCTAACCAGCCACGTGTGAGCAGCTCTCTGGCGTTGAAAGCCCCTGAAGGAACATCACTGCTAGTGTTTTATGCTCGTTTTCTTTCTCTCGCCTGCTAATCTAAAGTGAATTTTCAAATGGGTTGTTTTGAACCAAGGCACATAACCAAGAGAGCTGAGAGGCAGAATAAAAGTCTGCTCTTGACACGAACATAGAGGTCCAACAGGTAATTGTGTAATAAGCCCGTAACTCAAACCTTTATGTTCTAGAAATGACCCCAGTGGGACATTCTGCCCAATGTACTAAACTCCCAAAGCTCTTTGCTCAGGTCAACCGGGAGAAGCCCCTTCTGGCTACCAAGCCTTGCATCCTGTCCGGACCAAGCCCTGTGGCCAGCACCTTATCGGGCTGCGTGGGGCAGGAACCCACGATCTCCGCGTCTTCGGCCGAGAAGTAGTCATTCTCCTGCAGGTTGTCCACCAGACACTGAGTGTTGTGGATGTGCGTGACCAGGAGTTCGCGGCTGACTGTCAATAATTTAATGTAGGAATGAGACTCCGGTAGGATGCTTTCCATCTCACTGTGGCCCTGCTTTTCCATGCTCAAAGGGGCAAGCAGCTGCTGTTTCCAAATGCATCTTTGGCTGCATGTGTCTTCCTGGCGGAAGGGCAATCAGGATCCAGGGCCCCTGCCTCTCAGGGCAGCTCCTGCAGAGACAAATGACATCACCAACAAAGCAAAGGTAGTGGGAAAAGTCCCTCTGTCTCCCTTTGGTCCTGGACTTCGTCTACTCAGAGCATGAAGGAATCATGCTTAAGACATTGATCTGAGATGTAGTCAAGAGAAAGCAAAGTCATCATTTAATTGCTTCGGCTTGTGAGTTCCATTGCTAAGGTAGACTAGAGATAGATAACACTTTGTTTTGTTTAGCAAAACTTTTTAATGATTATTGTTTTGAAAGTATGCGTGAATCCTAGACTAGGATAGAGATGGAAAGGTGTATTATTTTCCATGAAGAGGTTAACTAGGTTTGGAGGTTTCCGCGTGCTCTAAGAGGGAAGACAGCTCAGAATTGAGAGCAGTGGCACAGTGGGCGTTGGTGAGAGAGGAGCTGAACAGAAAATGGCCTGAGGAAAGAGACAGCCAGCATGAAGTCTCCTGTGGCAGCCAGAGCCCAGGAGCCTGGGAACAGTGACATCTATCATTATCGCCTGTTCTGTGTTGTGCCGTCACCCTGTCCACAAGCCCACTCCAGCTGTCCGTATACCTTTAGCAAAGTCTGCTCTATATTATACAAGCACCTTGGGGAATGAAGGCGTGAGGCCATGTATGGAGTGAAGTATGGAGGGAGGGCAAGAGGGAGAATTGGCACGGACTTCCGAGTGGTAGATGACCAGGAGAGGCCATCTCCCTGGAAATGCTTGGAAACCCCGTGTACATGTTGAACTCCCTGTCTGGGTAGGAATAGGGGCCCAAGCTACTTGCATATTAAAAAAATAACTGGGTTCATCTAAGCTACCCCCAAATTGCACTGATTTCTTTCTTATAAGATCCCTCGGCTACTTCTGTAGTCATCCTTGTGTATATAAAATGGATCATAATCTTGGAAGTAGAAAAGCCTTGCACTGGCCACTTAGCCCTAGGAAAACCCACACATTCTAGAGGGCTAGTTTTTAAATTTTTTTGTTGAGCTAAAACAAAAAATTCATAGACCTCTAAATACTTATCCACATCATTAATGTATGTGTCAAAAGCCCACGTCTGTTAACATGTCCAGTGGTTCTCAAATTTTTTTCCACCGAGTCACACATGAGTCCTGGTCTTTGACACACTTCCATTTTTCTCTTTCTGCCCATCAGGTTGCTGAACACTGCAAGCTTTATAGAGATTCTCAGCAAGACCCCACACAATCACTTTCCTTTTATAACCTGGGTGATTGAGCAGAAAACAGTACAATTTAACATTTGAAGCAACAGAAGGGCAAAAAGAGGCTTACCAAAAAGAATGTGAAAGGATGAAACTCCTTGGTTAGTTACTATTCCACTAAAAATATGCTTATCTATTAGATGCTAATTCAGCTCTCTCTGTGGTGGTCAATTCTGCGGTCCATTGTAGGATCCAGAGCTTTAGAAAATTGGTTCCCTTAAGGGGTACCAGTTGATAAGTTAAATTTAAATTAGTGTTTAACAATACCTTTTTAAGTTTCTGGCATCGTTCTCTGAAATCAGTCAGACTCTTTGAAAACAATGTTCTCTCCTTAAATCTTCAATTTCCAATTTCTCCCTGGAATCTGCAAAATCAAAGAAAAGGCTGTAATGAATGGTTGAACAAATGAATGATGTTGGCGTCGGGAGAAGCTGGGGTTAGGAGGGCTGGTGTAGTAGAAAGCCACACACTCCAAGAGAGGCAGTCAGTCTGAGTCCAAAGGGGTAGGGGGTGGGGGTGGGGGTTGGGGGCCTGCTTTCCCAGCTGAGGACAAGCACCAGTGAAGACCGAGAGGCCTCGCGGAAGACCTCCCCGATGACATTCATTGGTCCCTTTTCACTCATCATGCATTTGTGGAGCATACGGAACATACAGTGAATAAAGCCGACTGTGCTCCTGCTCTCTGGGGGCTTACAGACAAGACCGAAGTGTGAACAACAGAAACCTACCAGACTGCCAAATGCAAAGAAAACAAAATGATAGAAGGAAAGGAAGAGGCTGATAATGGAGGAAAGACAGCAAAGCCTTTTAAATGAGGTGAACTTGGAGCCCCAGAATGAAGGAAGGTCAATGTCAGCCAAAAGTCTGAGAAAGGCCCAGGGCTTAGTAGGGTGTTATGGCTGGCCCGTTGCCAGAATGCACACAGTGAGGTCACCAGGACACCATGGAGGAAGGATTCACTGATAAAGGGGACCCACTTGGGGAGAGCAGCCAGAACTCAGGGTCAGGGACTGAATTCTATTCCCATTTCTGTCCAGAAATCATGGGGAGGCCCCAGAAAACACACACACACACACACACACACACACACACACACACACACTCACACTCACACACATACTCACGCACACTTACACTCACACACACTTACAATCACACACACACATACACACACACACTTACACTCACACTCACACACACACTCACACACACACACACATTCACTGATACACACTCAGTTTCACTTTCTAATAAGGGATTTATCCCAGGCCTGTCCTTCTTTCTTCCCTTTCCACTATCCCAGGGAACCCTGAAAGGAAATGTGCATTCTTTGTAACCAAAATGCTAAATAAACCACTTTAGAAAGATCTCCATCTTTCTAGAAAGTTCTCCATCTCCACAAATGTTCCTTTCTGTGTTTTAATAACTTTACCCAAGTATAAAAGCAATACCTGCTCACTGTGGAAAATTTGGGAGATAAAAAAACAAACAAACAAAAAACGTTTCGGAAGTCACCTACCACCCACTGTTAATATTTTAGAGTATTTTCTTTCTGCTTTTGTCTGGGGCAGTTATGCCTATCCTGATTTTTGGCACGCTCAGCATCACACTACGGTTCACCCTTCAACAACACAGGTCCCAGCTCCCACCCTGTGCGGCTGAAAATCCGTGTGTAACTTTTGACTCCCCCGAAAGCTTTACTAATTGCCTACTGTTGAGCAGAAGCCTTACCGATAACATAGTTGATTAACACAAATTTTGTATGTTTGCGTATTATATACTCTGTTCTCACAAGAAAGTAAGCTAGAGAAAAGAAAATGTTAGTAAGAAAGTCATAAGGAAGAGAAAACATATTTACAGTATTTTTTTGCAAAAAATTCACATATAAGTGGACCTGTTCAATTCAAACCCGTGTTGCTCCAGGGTCAGCTGTACACCCATTTGCTGTACCTTCCGCATTATCTCGTGTTTCTTTGTAACCACGAAGGCCCTCCGTTGAGCTGCAGAAGCTGGTTTCTGACAGATGCTTTGCCTGCCTGGTTTTCATTCGATAAAGAGGAGGGAGAGCCACTCTGCTCTTTTAAAGCCCCATACCTGAGAAATTCCACGTGCCAAACAGAGGATCAAAGATGATGCTAAATGGCAGCACCTTCCTAGGTCCGACCCTGCCTACCTGAGCCGCCAGGGCAAATCTGGACGCACCCACCAGCTGCCAGTCACACGACAACATGCTGTTATCAGTGGGACCGAGGCAGATGGGGCCCGGGGTGCTGGGAAGACTCTAGAATGCCGCAGTCTCATGCAGCCTTCTAGAGATCCAGCGTCCAGGCCTGCACCGTGTGGGGGCCCCAGCAGGGCACAGAATGAGCAGAGCTAACCCTGAGTCAGCCCTTTTCTGGGGCCCAGCACCAGTCTAATGCTTTCCACTCACTGTGAGAGGCAGGCTAACACAAGGGTCAGACATGATGTCGTGAGCCAGCCTGGCTGAGTTTAAATTCTGACTGCACCACTCATTCATTAGCAAGCTAGCCGTCCTCTCAGTGCCTCAGTTTCCTGAAAATGAGAGCTCCCGGCCTCCAAGTTGCTGTAAGGACTCAGTTAATCGTCATCAAGTACCTAGAGCAGGGCTGGCATACAGCAAATACTCAGTAATTATCACCTCACTTAACCTTCAAACAATCAATCCTTAGGACAGCCGTAGGTGGCAGAGGTCACTGGTACTGCCGATTTACAAATGAGGAAACCGAGGCACACAGAGGTTCAATAGCTCCCCACCCTCACAGAGTTGACGATCATGCGGGGCAGACGGACATAGAACAAGGGATTACAGTGTGGTGAGCACAGGGGATAAGAAAGGAACAGAGAGGCTCAGGGCAGCCCGCAGGTCTCCAGGCTTTCTTGGGCCCTGCTGGAGCCCTCTGCAGTAGAAGGTGACAGGGAGAAGTAGTGAGATCCCTTGTGTCTTAGGGAATTTGAATGTAAGACACCCAGGGACACAGTGAGTCCCAATAACCTATTGCACATGAGTAGTGGGAGTCAAGGCTGCCCCCTGTTGAGGAACAGTCTCTGCGGCCACCAGGCATGCCAACCCTTATCCCGTGGATCCTTATAAACGCCCATGAACAGAAAGGCCCGCGCTATGCCTGTTCCCAGAAAGACACGAGCAAACATGTCCACTCAGCAGCAGCTCATTCCGTGCCAGGCCACCCAGCAAAGCCCGAGTGCAGAGGTCACCCCGCCTCCAGCGTGAACATCCGCTCCCAGGATAAGCAGCTTGGCCTCCATCCCACTGTTGGTGGGGTGGGGGTTGGACCAAGAACAGACGCCTCAAGAAAATCATTTCTCATCACCCACACTGGCCTCACAATGTCACTCTTATCTTAGATACCCAATTGTTGGAACTCATCATTCACTCTTATATAGAGATATCAAAATAAATGACACAGCTTTCTGCAAATTGCTGCTACAATGCCAGCAGACAAGATTCCTAACAGAGCTGAGCCCTATTCCTTAAAACAGTCTTTAACAAGGTAGCAAATGCTGACAGAGTTACAACCCAGAGCTTTTTAAACAGTGAGCTCTATGTAGTCGAGCCATTCTACAAGTATTTCTGCTGCTGACACTTTCTGCATCTAGGCTGAAGACAAACAGAAACACAAGCAAAGCCAAGACCAGCTCTGCTGCCATCCAGGGCTATCAGCCTCTGCTCCTATCCCAACCCCAACCCTCCCCAAGTTCTGCTCATTTCTCTACTGTGAGTTTCCAAGCGGGTTGCTGCACTCTGGACACTGCAAGGCCTCAGGAAAAGGTCAATACCTTTATATATACAGACAGGATAAGCCTATGGGGTATGACTTTACTGACCACAGGACACTTTTCACGGGCTTTTCTACCCCTTCCTTGACAAACATCACAGTGAGAGAAGAACGCGGCTCGTTACAGAGTTGGGATTCCCTCCTAAGCACCAGGTAGGATCACACGTCCCTACTCCGTCGAAGTTACTGGCTTTGACTCATGAAATGTGAGCAGCAGTGGAATGAGTTACTCTGGGCAGGAAGCTTCGGGCACCAGTGCATAATTTATCAGCGTGCAACCCTCTTTTTCCTCTGGCACTCGAACCAGCGACAGTCAGGTGGTGGCTACTCCATCCGCCAGGGCCCACAGATAATGAAAATGAAGAGACCTCCAATTAACTTGTGATGGACACAGGGTGTGAGCAAGAAGCCCAGCTTTGTTCTTCGAGCTACCGAGATCTTGGAAGTATCTGCCACTGCAGCACAACCTAGCCCAGCCTGACGGATGCTGTCATTTTGGACAAGAAAAGCATTGAGCACATTAGGATACTTGAGGCCCAGTTTCCAGGGAGTTGTCAAAGGCCACACAGCTGGTTGGAGGCAGAGCAGGAACCCTTAAGAGTCTGGCCTGAGCTCACCACAGCCCTCTGCCTTCCTTCACACGACATGAGTTTCTATAGGACACAACCCATGACACTAAAGGACCACTCATGGTAAAGATACGCCACTACAATTGGTTTTCAGATATCATAAAACTGACTTTATTTCTAGAATTAAGAGTTAAGTTAAAGCATCACTCCCTGCTTTCCCAGACTTACAAGTAATCTAAGTGAGAAAATATTAATGTATTGAAAAGAAAAAAGGCTGAAATAGATAGTAAGCCCTGCATAGTCTTTTTTTTTTCAATTGCAGTTGACATTTAATATTATTTCATATTAATTTCAGGTGTACAGTATATAGTAGTTCCATTTATATAATTCATGCATACCCTTGATTTGTCCTGAGGTGGCCATGGTCCCAGATCCTGTCACCTCATTCCACCCAGCTGCTTTCCCCACCAAAAACCACAATCATCTCAGCCCAGTCGACCACCATCACTTCCATCAAAGTCATCAGGAAGGAATCATGATTAGAGTTAAAAAATAATGTGACGGAGCTATATGTACTGACATAGAAAGATCTTCAAGACATATTATCACTTGAAAAATGCAAAATGCAGAGAGAAATATAGAGTATAATAGCTTATATAGCTTTCCCACACTGCCTGACCTACAAACACACACAAGACTATATATTTTCTACAAGCATACATCCATGAACATAAATGCAAAGACAATCTCTGGAAGAAGGCACACTTTCTGAGAAGACAGATTACTTCTGAACAGGGAAGGAAGGGTAGCAAGATTGGTGTAGTGCTCTTTTATTCGCAATGCTTTAATTTTTTATAAGAATATATACTTGCATAATTTAAAGCCTAGCCAGCAAATGCCATATCTGGCAAAGCCACAACCTGCCGAACACAACATGGCTTCTAAAATAGTCTGTCTACCACAGTCTTGGACAACAGGAG